GATTCTTTGGCTGATGATTTGGTAAGTGGAACAAATGATTCTGACATTAATAATCTTGTTCGGAGACAACCTCATCAACCTAAAAAGGTAGAAGTTAATGCAGGGAATAGGACGTGGATTTTTAAACGTAATAATCAGCAAATTCCTGTTTATGAATATAATGCTAACCAATGTACATTGGGTTTTGCAGTAAAGAAAGTTCTTGGATACCAACCATTTAACCATGGATTTTTAATCTTGGGTAGTTGTATGCATGGTACTCTATTGGGGAATCCATATGATAGAAATACTGCTTATTTTACCCCTAATCAAAACTGAGCAAGAGAAGAAGCAGTTCGTTTAGGGGATGTTAGAAACTTAAAATATGACCCCGCTAATGGTCTAAATTATGCTATTTTAAGATTACTTCCTAATAATGAGCAATATACTTTATGAGGTGATGATGTAAGTGATGATATGGTAGTTGATAATGCGGGAGGATGAGAGATGGTAGCGGTGTCTGACCAACCATATCCGCAAGCTGGACTAACTGCAAATCAAGAACTTTGTTGGTGAGGAATTGCTTCGGGTCATATGTGTGGAAAAATTGAACATCCATCAACAACCCTAACAGCATTCAACCCTTGAAGATGACCTGTTTATCTTAGAGTGGTTTCTCCGTTGGTTATTCTTGGTCAGGAAATTCCTCTTGAATTTCAATGGAATCCTGAGGATACTTTTCAAGGTTTAATTAAGGTTCGCTTGGATGAGCACAGTCAACCTAGTGCAGGGGATGATTCCAAACGTGATTATGGTGCTCCCGTTTACTACCCCACTTTTGATAGACTTGGCTTAATAACTCAAGTTAAACCAGTGGGTATTTTGCTTGCATATATTCAGGAAACTGAAAACAGAAATAATCAATGTGTACGAGTATGATACATGTATTGTCTTTCAGTAGATAGAATTCTTAGAGATAGTCAAGGCTTACAATTAATTGGCGAAAACATCGCTTAGTTTTATAATTTAATCCTTCTTTGCTTAATGCAAATACTTAACAAAATACAAGAGATTATTTCTTTATTCAA